TGATTGCAAAATTAGCCGTTCATTTTGTTTGTTTGAAAAAATTCTGGCGACTTTATTACACTAAACATTTACAAAAGTATTAAAAAAAGAAACTTTGCACAAACTGTTGAAATTGACAAAATGCAGAAATGACCATAAGAAAGTTTTATTACACCAAATAACTTATAACTTATCCGTTTGTTTTGCAATTTCAGAGATTGTGTGAACAGCGACGTTTTGTGCTTTTTCTGCCGTAGCTTTCTAAAATATGTCATCGGTTCAAAATTATTCTTTACAGTTAATTCTCATATAATTTACAAAAAAAAAAAAAACAAGTTATAAAGAATCATGATGAGCTGTTAAAAAGGCCAAACATTACATCTACTTTCAAGTGTTTTTGAGAAAAATGTGTTTCCTAATCTTCCAAATGTCTTTTTAAATATGAAAACCATCAGCTCAAAGCCACTGTGTTAATCATAACCAAGCTTTTAAGTGTTTGTAAAATGAACAGTTAAGTATAATAAACGTTTTTCAGATTCTTCTGCAAATTAATTTGCAAAGTGTCTGCAAACACAAAGATCAGCCTCTTTCTGTTATCTTCAGTCTGTAATTATTTCCTCAGTCACTAAAAATATAGATTCTTGTCTAAATAGCTTAAATGAGCCATTCACGTTGACACTGATTGTTAATTCCTTTACAAAACTCCCTTGAATTACACTTTGAGAGTTTACTCTGCAGTCACTTTTTATCGCATTCCTCACTATAGCTGACACATTCTTTCTTTTTCTTATTCCATTCCGCCCTCTTTTTTTTGCACCATTTCCAATACTTCTGACCTCTTGGTCCGCAGCCTGAAAGAGGTCCCTTCCCTCGGCACATCTCAGCCCAGCACCATTCCCATGGGCTGTGTTTTAGCGGGGGACTCATCCTTCATCCTCTCTAAAGCCTTTGTTGCAGGCTGAAAGCTGGCCGATGCCGGGGCCATCAAGCCCAAGTTGTTGGATCAATATAAACATCCATCACTTAGCCCCGGGCCTTTCTGTGCCTCACAATGAACAGTTCAGTACACAATACTTTATTTATGTGTGCCATTAGAGGGAATGAACTCGAGGTAGTTCACTTATTTGCGGGTCGGCCTCGCTGTGGAAACCTGGAAGTGGCTCAACGTTGGGTGTGTTTTTCTCCTTCCTAGAAATACTTTTTGAACCAAACTGCACCACCTTTTATACTTCCTTATATCTGATTGTAAATAAACTTATTCCTGAATCACAGAAGTAGAAACTGAATTCAGTGATTTTAGACGACAAGCCAACTTAAGAAACAAGTCTGCCAACTGTAAGGAAATACTTAACCCTTATACATGGGACTACTTAGTTCAAATTCCTTGTGGACACGCTACATGAGTAAGAGATGCACAATTTCCTTCCATTGTTAAAAAAAAACATGCAGAGACTCTAAACTTCCTGCTTCATAGCAGCGGTGACAGAGCTGCTACCACAAAAACAAACCGAAAAACAGCCACGCTTGTTTTTACACAGCAGAAACTAATACATCCATCTGAGCCATTTGTTTTTACTCTGATTACACTAGAATATTTAGAGCTACACCCAGACTGTGGCATTTCATTGTGGGAAGTCCTTCTTGTTGATTCCTAGCAGAGGTTCATGTAACATCTGTTAAGACGTTTGATGTGGTCGCCAGAAAATGTGCAGCATTTTATATTTTTTAAATTTTGTTTTGTTTTTTTTTTTGCTATTTTTAGAAACTACCACTAAAGTTTTTAAGCAACAGAAGATGAACTAAGTAGGATTGATAGAAGTAACTTTGTCAATGACAGAAAGCACTTGTTTAGTTAAAATTGGAAAATGTGCCCACAATGGCAAAAGTGATATTTTAACCTAACATCTCATCTTTTCTTTTAATTGATAGCTGATTATACCATCCTGCTGTGACTTAATGTGCTCTCATAGATCACCTCCAGTAATATTTCAGTACATATGTGGGGAAAAAAACACAAACAAAAAAGGCCCACAGGGAGCTGCTTTAGGTCTTTGGTGCAGTGAATTTACTCCTAATTCAGACAATCATTCCCTTTAATGGGGCTGCAAGGTGGAGCGGTGGTTAGCACAGTTGCCTCACAGCTAGAAGGTCGCCCATAGCGTCCCGGTGAGGACACCCGGGATCTTTCTGCGTGGAGTTTGCATGTTCTCCCCGTGCTCTCTGGGTTCTCCAGCTTCCTCCCACAAGGTCCAAAGACATGTTGAGGTTAATTAGTGATTCTAAATTGTCCGTAGGTGTCAATGTGAGTGTGCTTGGTTGTCTGTCTCTAAGTGTAGCCCTGTGATAGACTGGTGACCTGTCCAGGGTGTCCCCTGCCTTCACCCTGAGTCAGCTGGGATAGACTCCAGACCCCCCACAAGTGAGGATCAAACGGTGTATAGATAATGGATGGATGGATAGTTTAATTTACATTTTGCTGAAGTGATTAAAGGTCCCACCCGACTGTGACTTCACACAGCCCCTCAGAATAAACACAAGCTCCTATAATTAACTTTTTTTTAGCTCCATCCAGGCTCACATACACTGCAAAGCATCATAAAAAATGTAGTCAAATCAACTCATCTTTTCTAATTTGCTTACTGTAAACATATGAACTTTGCTCATTTCTAGTTACCTGAACTTAAAATGTGTAATTTCTTTTTTCCAACCACTTTAGAAATTAGGAACACTTGTTATCATAACCTGAGCCATCTGACTTAAAATGAGATGTTGAATGAATGAACAGCTGGGATTTGACTGAACTCCATACATATTCGGAAACAAACACTTACAAAGAGACTATACCTACAATGCATTTTTACACATTTTAAACTCACCAGGGATTGTTTTATACATACACTTTGAGAAAACAGATATGGGGGCCTTCACACAAAGAAATAGTGTGAAACAATGCACTCATCATGGAAGAATACAGTGATGCTGCACATCAAATTAAACAGCAGAACCTGGGCTACAAGAACATACAAGCCATTTTTACACGCCCCAAACACAACTCAACAAATTCAACATCTGAATTATCAAATATAGAAATCGATATAGCGCCACCCAGTCAATCCACTCGATACATGTTTGGCTCTATCGTTTTGATACTTTATGGAAAACACACAAACAAGCCCTCAAACGCAAGCAGACAGTCCACAGATTCCACACGTGTCCATCAAATCTCTCTGAAATCAAAGCATCGGCGAGAAATAACCCAAAGAACAGCAAAAACCGAAATCGCTTCATCAAACTGTTGTTGTAAAATTGCTCTTACCTTAGCTGTTTTGCCATGAAAAGTTTGTTTTATCGGTAAATCCACACCGCAATCAGTTAGTACTACTTCCTGTGTTACACTGAAATCCTTCCGGGCGTCTTTTGGAGGCTTCGTTAGCCGAAGGGAGCCACGGAGAGAACATAACTTTTTTTTTTTTTTTTTTTTTTTGGCGAACCTGAACATTTTTCATTTGGGCTGTGTGCCTCATTCATAGATAGCAATAACAATTCTATTTTAGCGTTAAAAATATTTTTTTTTGGTTAAAGAGCTTCTACATACTGGTGTATTACATTACAGAAACATAAACAATGATTATGGTAATGCTGTTGATTTAGGGCAGCTGTGGCATGAACCGTACATTGAGAGGTGGTCTAATATATTTGTGAAGCACTGTATATGTACGTGAACAAAATTAGAGGTTCGTTTAACAGACTACAGCTATGTTATTATTGAACTAAATGTGATATCACATTTTAAAATTATTTTCAAAATGGGATGCAGGTCTTATTGTAACTGCAATATAAATATTAGATAATGCATACAAAATTATTATTATTATTATTGTTATAA